CAAGGGTCTCTCATCATTACACCTCAAACTCCCCCAAAGAGTTGAATGTTAGTAGCAAAGCATTCCTAAAATACTAGCCCAGGTACTGAGAGGTGGAATCTATTTAGAAAGGAGAGCCTCGATTTTGGAAAGTCTCCTTTCTGTATATATTGCTTTCCACCACTCCACGTCCTCTCTCCTCTTAGCCACCTCTCCAAGGCATTTAGAGAGCTAGAGACCCTCAGTCCCTCCACGTCGCTATATCTCTGTTAAATAAACCCTGCTTCGTGAGCAGGAAACACCAGCGGGATCAGGAAACCCGGCACATTCCCCAGGACCAGACAGGAAGAACATGAAAATCATGAGAAACGYCACGTTCTATAAAAAGACCTTTTCTTTCAAGCTAGAAACCTGCTAAGTGGCGTGCAGTTATTCTGGTAGCACATGAGGAGCAGAACAAGGAGTTGCCAACAGCTTGAGCATGGGAGTGGAAGATGCTGCATCTGCCTTCAACCCACCCCTCCTCCTCCTCCTCTGGTATTTTAGGCACTCAGATATCTCTGCATGTTGAGCAGCTGTAGCCCAAAAGGACAAGGGAGGCAACTGCCACCACCATAGCCTTATTTATGGCATGAAGACACCAGGTATTAAATGGGGCTTTGGCCGAAGTGCAGAACATGACAAAACTTCCTTCCAGCCTTTGCTGTATGGAGGGGGTTGCTTGGAAAGGGACAACAGTTGCCACGTGGGTGGCAGTGACTCTGCACATGATCCAGCTACTTGATGGTGTGTAATCAAGCACTGTCTCCAGGCTTCATCTTCAGAAAATCCCACAGGATGGACCCTGCTCTGAATGGATGAGGGGCAGCAGAGCAAGCTGTTACGATCATGTCACCTAGGAGCTATTTGATCTCCTTGGGCTTTGCTCTAATATATTGAATTTGGAGCACCCCTTTTCACGGTATTTTAAATTCAGAAAATGCAACCTCCAAAGTGCAGAGCAGGTCTCACAAAYGAAGCTGCTGAAACACAGACACGAGGATCAATACGACAGGTTATGGGCATTACCTGTGTCTGGGTGGGTCTGGCTTTAAAGCTCTAAGCATTATGCTACAYCCAAATTTGTCTGGGATTGGTTTTGCTTTAGGAAATTGTGCACAGAACAATTGGGCTTAGGGAACACAAAATGAATAGGAAAAGCTCTCCAAAGGTTTGCAATGCCAGGGAGAAGGCCAGAGCTCCGCTACTTCAGACCACTGCTACTCCTAATCCCACCCCACCAAGATGTCTCAGGCACCTTTTCTGATCACTTTATACTGGCTGATTAACAAACAAGCCCAAAAGGAAGGAACATCATAAAGCTAAGAGCTAAAGGCCTCACCACCTAAATATCAAGTTTGGAAAGGCAGAAAGAGACTTCTAGCCATCTCAGAAGACAAGTTTTTGAGTTTCAGTGAAGACCTGCACTACTTGAAACCTTACTGTAATCATTTCATGGAAATCAAATATTTTATCCTGATATTCCATTGAAGAATGAAATTGATACAATAAAGTTAACATCCGGGTTCAGAGGCAGGTGACAGCTTTAAAGTGTTGCCATTCACACGCAACACAGTGACTTCTTCCACAAGGTGTTGGCCACGTGCCCCTTTCATGTTTAACTGCCTCAGCCAACGCTTGTTTGGATGTGCTGGTACGTGAGGAGCTTCTCAAGGTGGACACATCATCCTGGAGCAGCAGGATTGGTCCCAACATGAGAGTTCATGTGCTTAAGGGACAACCCCTGCTCCTCCACCTGCCCCTTCGCTCCATTAGCCTCCTTTAAACCTGCAAATGGGGACAACCAACTCGATGAGACCTGAAGCTTGGTAGGTCTCTGTGCAAACTCCTCTGATTAAAAATAATAAAAACTCATCATACATAAATAAAGCAAATCTACTGGAAGGACTAGAGAGGGACACACAGGTAACAGCAACTAGCTGCAAAKCACTGAGACAGGCTCCTAACTGCCAGACCTGGTCTACGAGGAGTAATTCCATGTGGACACTCTCTATGAGGATGCAGGACGCAGTGCTGCACTAGCCCAGAGTAGCAGCAACATTAGCAGATTTGCAGGAGGACGGACCCAGACGTTTCACACACGGATCCCTGCTCTCACTTCTGCTGGCAGAAGCCAAAGCCTCYATGCCAGGATATCTGTCCACTCCATGCTACTGCCCACCTCATGGGCGACCTGCCAAAGCCTGGGGCTGGCAAGGCTCTGAGCAGCAAAGAGCTCTTCTGGCTGCCCTCCTCCAACTACCTCCTAACAACAACATTTTAAAGGAGCTTTCCCTTTGCTAAAGGGATAAGCACTTAATCCCTTGTAACTGAGACATTTCCAGCGTGTTGGTCTTTAAGAGGTCTCCTACCTTTCCTGGCCAGATGTAAGTAGGAATTTACAGCCATACGCAATCTCATTTGCAATAGAACCCAAAAGTTGCAAGCTCGTTATCAGAAAGGAGGATAAAAGGATAGCTGTGATTTCCTGGTGCGGCTTCTTGCAAGGTCTGCAGCCAAGCGCAGAACCCCTCCTTGGAAGCCCGTCAAGGCTGGGCTCGGGCGCCACACGCTGCTGGGGACACACCGTGGAGGCCCCATGGATAACCACAGAGCAACGAGCGCAGAGGCAAGGACGGGGGTGTGAGGAGCCCGAGCGACAGCGAGCGCGGCCGCTACGCTCGTCTGCTGCTGGAGCAGATCCCACCTCACTGCAGGATGTCCCRGGGGCCAGAGCTTACCAATGCCAGGAAACCAACACCCCCAAATCTTCTGTTTTTAAAGAAGTTATTATAGAAATAAAGGTGTGAAAAGTTTTCCCTCTTCACAGCAAGGAATTATACAGTGTTAGCGCTGCCACCAAGGTTATCACAGGATGACACATAAACGAGACAAGAAACTACTGTTCTGATGCCTAACATCCTATGAACTTTGAAAGGGAAAAAAAGAATAAAAACTATCATGACAGAGTTAAAGAACGTTTCCAATTGGGCTGTGCTTCTTTCCCAAACTCTCGGCTTGCCCTGGGAGCCTCCCTTGCAATCCCTGTTTCCGAGGAGGGCTCCCTCGCTCCGCCTTTGGGTCCAGGAGATGCAGGTGGCACCATCCCCTCCCGTGTCCCCTCCCAAGCTCCCGACCGTGTCTCAGCGGGCGCATGGCCACGTTCAGGCCTTTCCAACTGCTCTGCCAGCACTTCAGCATGCCAGGCAACTGTTACATGATACAGAACACGTGGAAAAATGAACTCAGATTGAAAGAGGAGCACAGCGACAGCTCCTTCCACTCTATCCCAGAGGCTCTGCACACCGGCCAGTGTTCAGAGCTCATTTTTTTGGAGTAATGGTGGAGGTGCTGGAAGGGGGGGGAGGGAAACACAGATTAATCCACTTAATCCATTGCCCAGTGGCTAGAACACTCCAACTGCCTTCCAACAGCTCCAAATTCCAGTCTTTTTCTTGGCTCCTGGAGCCAAGAAGGGAACCTGTGGAGCTGCAGGGCTCCATAAAGAAGAACTCCAGCTGGAGATCTCCCCAGCTTCATTTGAGCTGCCCTCCCTTGGTTGGTGTGGGGACACGCTGGCCAATGCACCTTGCACACCAGTTTCCCAACTYCCCCTAGCCGACCTCCCTCGGGTCTCGGTTTGCCTTTAGCTACCCTGCGGATCCCCAGCTCCTGACAGTCCCAACCCATTCTCTGCTATATCCTCCGGGCAAATCCCTACAAAAAAGGGCTTTATTAAGGCCTTTTTATAACAAAATATGTATGTAATACAACCAAAGCACGACAGGGTTAGCACTCCCCTGGCTTGCAGCATTCCAGGCAAAGCAGCGTCCGGAATGGCAGCTCCTGAAAGGCTGCCAAATCCCAAACAGCCCTTTTGCAAGAAATTATGCTCCAGGTAAGAGTCCAACATTGGAAAGCGTGTTGCCACCTCAAGTATTACAGCTCAATAGGTCCTAACTTTCGGTCTGAGCCCAAGCAGAGGGTATGCCAGCACACTCCCATCCCACCCACCCACCGGAGCTTGCTTTCTAATTAACGAGCTCGTTACATGCCATTTCACAATGTTTTTCCGTGTATTTACAGAAGGATTACTGCCTGTGCCTTCTGTAATAAGCTGGTAATTCAGGACAGGAATTCATTCTTAACATTTAACCCACTAGATTTCCTGCACAAGCCACTGAGTCTTTCTTGTTTGGAAACTGAATAATAAAAATCTTTAGGACCCACCGACCTAACGTTGTTTTCAAGTGGAGAAGCCTAAGGCGATGTTTTCCCTCAGTGCTTAGCTCAAATTCATGAAGCATCTCATTGAAAGCCCCTCTGAATCTCCCAAACTAGTGACAAGCCCATGTTGGGACACCCAGCAGTCCTGATGCCTGACAGCCCCCTCATCGCACACCAGAGCCAAACCACTGGGACTCCACAGGAAAAACGGTCCTTTGTGAAGGTGACAATCACTCCTGGTGCCGCTTGGTGCTCGGTGTGCACCCGGACACACCGGGACGTGGGATGTGCCTTTCTGTGAGGGACACGCCGCTAGCGCCCGGAGAGGCGAGAGGCTCCCCCGGGCCACCGTGTCCCAGCCTCGGAACGTGTCAACAGGGCCACCCCACATCAACAGCCTCAAAGCACAAACTAAAGGCACTTTTTTCTTTTAAATAGACTTCAATGATCAATTTTACTCTTTTTAAAACAGCCCAAGCAGCTCCTGTTTCATTATTAAATGCTGTAAATATTCATAAAAAATTAATTTGCCTGTGTGTGACATACAAGTACCAGATTAGTCATTTCACTTTCCAAATCCAGCCTGTGCAAAACGCTTCAGCACAGCATTCAGCACAGCTCTCACCAGACTAAGACAGGCTTTTTCCACAGGCAAACGTTTTCCAAAGACAGCCTGTGGAACACATTTTCAACAGGCTTCACCACCAACTTGGACAGGGAAGGGGAGAGAATAAAAACAAACCCGCAAAACTCACTTGACTGTCACTCGACTGGACAAGTCCTGAAGGTCCCCCGGGTGGAAGAGCTGAGCTTCCTTCAGCCCGATGTTCTCGCAGGCTCGCAGGAACACGTTCACGTTGTCCTGCGGAGAGAGGCAGAGAGCGGCCGCTCAGCCCGAGCGCGGCGAGCGGGCTGTGCAGGGCGCCCGGGCGCAGTGTCAAAGTCCAGCTCGTGGGCACGGCAGCACCAAGCGGAGCCGCCGCCGCTCCGGGGGCAGCTGGCTCTGGAACCTCTACCTGGCAGCGGCGCTTTGATGGCAGCCGGGCTCTGCAAACAGCCGCCCTCCTCCCGGCCGCCTCCAGCCTCGGCGCCCGCCTTCCCAAATAACTCCGGCTACCGCCGCCCGCCACCCAGAAACTCTTGGCAGGGGAGCAGGAGGAGGAACATTCCGTTTGCAGGAGCTCAGCCCGACTCGGGGATAGGGCACCTGGAATCCGGGCTGGGCTGCCGTGCAGGCGAGAGGGGGAGACACCCGAGCGTGCCGCGTCCTCGCTATGGGGCTCCYGCTGCTTCGCGTTCCTCCCCTTCCTCCTCCTCCCCACCCCAGAGCCCCCCCTCTCCGACACGTAACCGAGGTGCAGGTGGGGCGCCCCACAGCACCCACGCGCTGCACCTGCCGCGCACCCGCCAGCCTTCCCGGTGAATAGCTACCGATAAACACGGCGACAGAAAGCAGAATTATGCAACCCGCGCCGATCTCCGCRCAGGGCAGGAACAATGGGCAGGAATTCCTTGCCCGGGACGCGGAATGCTCCCAGCGGCAGCGGAATTTGCCCTCTCGCACACGGCTCAGGCCGGAGCGGCGGGAAGGGGCGCGCGGAGGCGCCGTGTCCCGGCCCGCGAGCCCGCCCGCTCAGCTGCGGCTCTCAGGGGGCCGGGGCAGAGCCCCTGCCGGGCAATAGAGCATGGTTTGGGGCTCGTCTACCACCCCAGCGAAGCACGAGCTACCAAAGCAGCAGCAGCTGCTTGGAATACTTGGTAGAAAAAAAAAAATCCACCCAACTTTCTGTTTTGAAGGTACCCGAGACTCACGCGTCTCTTATCGACGCGTCCACACACTTTCACCGGAGGGCCGTGTTTGCAGACGGCTTTTCCTGTGGAGGCCGCGGGCCGAGCGCCGTGTCCCTGGCACGGGGGCAGCGGCCCCACGGGCGACAGGGGCGCAGGGCCCCGCGCTGCTCTGGGGCCAGCGACGGCCCGAGCCGTGGGGCCCGGGGAGCCSCAGACACCTGGGGACAGGGCTGCTGTCTGTGCAGCGGGCCCCAAGAACCAGCACAAGCGACTCCCGCAGAGGCAGCCCRCTCCAGCTGGCCCTCCCGTGTCCCCAGAACGAGGGGAAAGGCACAAACGGACGGGTCACCTCGGCTCGGTGGCACAGAGCGATGGCACCGGGCGCCTGGATGAGACACGCGGGTCGGGGAGCGAGAGGAAGGGACTGTGCGCCCGCCGCGCCGCGYGCAGCCCCGGCTCGCGGGGCTCGCAGCTCCCTCGCGCTTCCCTGCTGCAGCACCTCCAACGAGCTGGAAGCCTCCTGCTCCACACCCCGACAGCAGCACGGGAACGTCGGCCCAGCCGAGACCCCTGGAAACGCTGCAGCTTCGGAACACGCTGGAGGGACCGGGAAACGAGGCAGCCGCAGCTAGGACAGGGGGACGGAGCAGGGCTCAGAGGGSTCCCGAAGCTGCAGCGGCCCCAGCACGGCCGGCGCCTCCCAGGGCTGCAGCTGCCCCTGCTCCAGCTGGGCTGGAACCCACCCCAGTGGCCCAAATCCCAGCTTATCCACAGCCCCCTGCATCCCCACGAGCCACTACAGTCCCAGCAAAGCAGCACTTCCACAATACCACCCTTGGGCAGTTATTCCTGACCATCCCTAACCATTACCATCCAGCAGGAAAGCTACAGGTCGCAGAACAGCAGCCACTTTCAGCTCTCACAGAATAACCAACTCGGGGGTGAATCTGAAACAGGACCACAAAAATAAGCGGAAAACACGACAAGCTGTCAACTGTGTGATTAGAGTTATCAGGAGGGAGTGAGCAGGAACAGAGTCGGCTGATTAATGTGCTCAAATAYAGAAACTATCAAACGGCTCCTTTCCCCATGTTATTTCTTGGAATGCAACTGCACTTTAATAAGGCCAGGGGCTGTCTGACTGCAAAGCACATGCTGCGAGCCTCATCTCGGTGCACACTGCCAGCAGGAGTCCCCTAAAAATTCCCAACTCGGAGTAAAAGCACGGAGGAGCACAGCACACCAGGTCTCTCTCCCATCGCCAATAATACATCTATATATCTAGGTATAACTGTATCTGAGAAAAGAGGGTTTCCCTGTGCCCGTCCGTGCCAGCTCCTCTGCCCCACAGAGGTTCCCAGGCACGGCGGGTCAGGACAGGCCACTGACATATAGGGAAGATCCACATCAGCAGGGGCACAGAGAAAGAAGGTGAGGAAAACACAAGCAGAAAGGCCACAAAGGAACCTGTGAAATGGGAAAAACGGGAGCCCTGGGATGGCTCGGAAGCGCACAGGGAAGCACGAGAGGCAGGACGGGTGCCCGCTGTGAGCAGGGGCGCACGGCCACCAAAGACGACGCGAGAGCTGCCAGGCCAGGGGCAACCAGACGAAGAGCCTCAGCTGAACGGAGCAGACGCCGGCTCTGCCCGCGTGTAACGTCTCTAACCCCTGCGAGAGGAGGCTCCGAGGAGGCTACCAGCAGTAACGGCACAGGACTCACCAGCGGCTTGTCACGGAGCTTCATCGACCCATATCCTTGAGCATCTGAAGTGGGAATTAGCATCGCGCAATTACGTGTCTCAACTCACAACAGAAACGAAGCCTGAAGTGCTAACCACAGCATTCAAACGCGGTTTGGTTCTGCGTGTTGTTGTTACTTCTAAGGAYTGGAGGGAGGGGCAGGGAGATGGAGAGGGGGATTACGTCCCCCTCCCTTCCAAAGGGATGCATGGGGCACCAGCAAAGCGTTTGGGAGGCTCCAAGGGCAACCCGGTTTCCCGCAGGCCACACAGATTCACATCGCTGCTCATGGCCCAACCCCAGCTGCTTGGGGACACTGCACACACCGGAGCAGGGGACAAGSGGGTGCCCAGGGTCCCCAACTCGGGACAGGGGGGAAAAGGAAAACAAAAAGGAATAAAAAAGGACCAACACTCTTGAAGTGGAAGAAAATAGCATGAGCATTAAGATGAGGAGGGAAAAGGGAGAAGTGGAGATGACAAAGCAGCAAGAAAAGGTGACATTAAATAGGAAAAGGAGAAAGAAAGTAATAGTATACAGAAAATAATTAAAAGTATCTTTACAGAATTTTTAAAAAAAAGAGCATGAAGCATAGGGTAATTAGAAGAGGTCTCTATATAAGATCAGGGAATCACTGGTTTTCCTCGTACTTTTATACRAATACTTACGCTTGCACACATAGCCTATAATTTAACTCAGAATTAAATCCCTTGGTTACCACGAAGATGAGGGTGGGACGGGAGCACTGCACGGGCTGCAGACACAGCTGCCCTCCCGGGGCTCCGGGGAAAGCCCCTTCCCAAAGCACCGCGACTCGCTCGGGGCTGCTCCAGGAACACAAGGGAGGGAGCAGCCTCCTCCCCAGAAAGGCCACCTAGACAGAGGTTCAGCTAACACACTGGATGGAGGTTCAATTAACGTGCTGGATGGAGGCTCAATTAACACACTGGATGGAGGCTCAATTAACGTGCCCAGCGGGTTGCCTTGGTCAAGGTTTCTCCCAGGCTGCCCAGGCCGGCAGGTGAAGAGGTTCCTTCCTCCAGGTCAGGTTGGCTACTCCCTCCCTACTGGAGCAGTACCCTTTGGCCGATCTTAGGAGCAATTAGCAAAAAGGGGTGGTTTTCTCCCTGCTCTCGCTTCTGAGGGCTGAAGGGACCAGCGGAGCCCAAGGGCCGCGACGCAGGTTCTCCCTGAAGCATCACCCTGAGCACCCCTTGGTGCCAGAAACTGCCTTCAGTCCACTCGAAAGGCACACGTGCCACCCAGTAGCTGCAGGGCCTGGTAACAAACTCCAGACACTTTGGAAYAGATCACAGAATCCTTAGGGTTGGAAGGGACCTCCCAAAGATCACTTAGTCCAATCCCCCCTGCTCCAGCAGGGACACCCAGAGCACAGGGTGGCATCCAAGAGAGTTCGGAAGATCTCCAGCCAGAGAAGGGACTCCACAACCTCTCCAGGTAGCCTGATGGATGTRTTTTTCCCTCCCTTTCCTACAACTGGGCTCTCCCCCAGGTCGCATCCCCAGCAGGGATTTGGGAGGGTACACAGCCGTTTCACACCCCCCYGTGCCTTACGCCGGCCCTGAGCCCGCTGGAAGGGCCCTAATGCTGGATTCGGAGGCGTCTCCGGCGGCAGCATCGCGGAAGCGCCGCGCTGTCGATCCTCGAGGTGGGGTAAGGGGAAGGATCTCGTCTAACGAGTCGGGCGGCTCGTGGCTGTTCCCCAGAGCCACGTTTCGAGCCTCAGAGGTGGCCTCGGGTCCGTTTGCTGCAGAAACACTGCTAGCACGTTCTGTCTTCAACTGCAATCAGAAAAGCAGCAGGTGGAGCAGCTAAACTCCATCTCCCCCCGTACTTCTGGGCTCCCACACAAGAAGAACCGKGGCCATAATTCAGCTTGGAGCAGCCTCAGGCCTCCTGCTCAGCAAACAACCCCCTGCAGCAGCTCACAGGGGCTCCACACTGGCCAAAGGCCCCGGCCACCCCAGCAGCAACGCTGCTCTTGGCCCCACGGGCGGCCAGCGCCACGCGAGCCGACCAGGAAGCTGCCCTTGGTGAGAGGGAGCAGCACCTGCTGGGAGGCAAAGAGCGTCCCCGCAGCCGGGGCCAGGGCCCGCGAGGACAAGGGGCAGCCTGCAGCGCCTTCCCACTGTCCCTGCACCAGCACCGTGCTCAGGGCCAGCTGAGGACTTGGCCGTGGGGGCCACCTCCCCACCTGCAACCTCTCATGGCACTGAGCTCCTAGTGAAACTGCCAGGGGCAGAACAAAATAAAGAAAAAGTAAAATAGAAACTGTTTTTTTTTTAAATGAAACTGAGTTTATGGAGTT